GGGGCTGGATGGGGAGGGGAAAAGCCAGGGCTGGGGCCAGGCGTTCTCACCACGTGGTCTTCTCTTTGGAGAATTTGATGCCCGGCACTCGGCCCATGCGCCTCACCATCATGTGCAGGCGGCTGCTGCCAGTCAGCACCTTCACGGCGCTGCCCATGGTGGTGCTCTCCAGGCTCAGCCCGTTCACCTCCGTGATCTTGTCCCCCACGCACAGGCCGGCCCGCTCTGCACCAGGGGAGGGGCGTGGCTGGCAGGGGCCACTTGGAAGAAGTCCTCCAGGGTGAAGCTAAGCCTCCCGCCACCACACAAGGCTCCCTGGGGCAAAACTTCTTCCGTGAAATTGGGGATCCCCGGGTGAGGTCTGAGTAGTCCTTATGAGACTAGGGACCTGTCCATTAGCCCACTCCACCCTGGGAGGGGGCCCCATGTCCCCATTGGATCGGGCCCTCCAAAGCTGAGGACCCTTTCCTCCCATCCCTGATAAGAGCACCATCCTAAGCCAGAACCTCGCTCCTGGGAGCCCTGCTCACCTGCACTGCTCCCCTCCTCCACCTTGCTGACGAAGATGCCCAGGCCATGCTCCGAGCCGCCCCGCACACTGAAACCCAGTCTCCCTGCTGGACTCTTCTCCACCCGGACCGCATGGATGATGTCGCTCTCATCACTGTTGGCTGTGTGGTGGTGTGGGTGGGAGGGACATAGGCATGACTCCCATGTCCTTTCTGGGCACAGAGGGCCCCTGGGTTTCCCAGGTTGGGGCCTGCAAAGGCTGGGTTTCTAGGCAAAGATACCTAAAGCTCTAAGGCCTGAGGGCAGCCAATTTCTGAGTTCCCTATTGGTGGTTTTGAGGCCATGGGCCAGGGAGAGTGTGGGAATAGGCAGGACAGGACCCCACAGTAGAAGCCACTGTTCTCCTTCCCTTATATAGGTGAGTGTGTGTGCGTATGTGTGTGCGCGCGTGCTCGTGTGTGCAGGTGTGTGTGTGTTTCTAATGCTTACTCAGCTTCTCACACCCACAGGCCTGAGATAGGACAAATTCCTAAAAATCCTGTCACTCTGAGAGTCAGATGGATAGAGAAGAGGTTCAAGATTCCATTCGATAGGGCAGAGTTGAGCAAATTTGGGCTCTTCAGCTTGCACAGAAATGAGTATGCTGATCTTCAAACAGTTGAAGAGCTATTCTGTGAAAGGCATTAGATGTTTTTGTTTGTGTAACCCAGAGGACAGAACCAAGCCCGAGATAGAGGCTATCTATCTAAAACCTTCAGCTGTCAGACAATGGAATGAGTTTTGGAGAGATAATGAGTTCCCCATCTTTGGAGGCATACAAGCTGACCCCTGATAAGTCCCTGTCTGGGATATTGTGGACGGATCCCCGAGGCTCCTTCTATCTCTTCAACTCTGTGATTCTGGAGGTAAGGGCTCTAGGAGCTACTTGACTATATGTGGAGAGAAACCCAAAACACCACTATGTTGCAGCGTGTGCCCAGAGCCCAGAGGGGTCCTCTCCATCAGTGCTGGGGAAAGTCAGGGGAGCAGGGTCCCTAGGGGCTGGAGCTGTCAGGGAAAATGATTTGGAAGACTGAGATGAGTGGGATTTGGTTGGAGGGGGGGAGCAGAAAGGGAGGGCACTAATGAAGAAGGGGATAGAGTGAGTAAAGGCACTGCGGTGGGTCCTTGAGAAGGCCTTTGGTTAGAGAAAAATAAGAAGACTGCAGAGGGAAGCTAGGTCTCAGGTGAGAAGGTGAGAAGATGAGATTTCCTCTTGAACAAGGCTTACTCTAGAGGTGTTTGTGGGGGACAAATCTGTCTCTCTCTCTCTCTCTCTCTCTCTCTCTCTCTCTGTGATCTAAGAGAAATCAGGTTACAATACATGAGCAGAACAGCTCAGGAAGAAATCTCCAAGGGCAGCCTGTGGGCATGGATGGTGTAGGACAGAGATGTGCGATATTCTAAGGCTTTCTGGCTGTTTCTGACTGTATAGGTCTCAACCCAGCCAAGGAGTCTATTGCTTTCCTGCCCCGCAACCCTCTTTCTTCTCAGGCCCTCCCTGGGGCCTTCCTAGGGCCCTGAGCCAGGGGGATGCCACACTGGGGTTTTGAGCATAGGAGCTTGGGGCCTCTGAGGATGGAAACTTCTCTACCTCCACTACCCTAGCCTGGGCCACCGACCTCTCCCTCTAGGCACTCACAGCCTCCTCACTGTCTCCCCACCTCCATTCTTGCCTCGTTTAGACCATTCTCTACAGTGGCCAGAGCCAGCTTTTACAGTAGACTGCTTATTGAGAACTTCAATGCCTGCTCCGGCTTCTAGAAGGAACTCCACAGCCCCCCCATGCCTGGTAAGGCCCTCCATGGGCTGTCCTCTGCCCACCTCCCTACCCTCACCTCTGGCCACCATCCCTAGCCTCACTGAGCTTTGGCCAAGCTGACCTCCTTCCTGCTCCTCTCATGGGCCAATCATTTCAGTGTTCCCTCGATCCTTGATACTCTTGTCCAGACTTTTGTAAAGCCAGCATCTATTCTGCAGCCCCTCCTGGCTCAGACACCGCTTTCTCGGAGAAGACTTCCTGGACTACCCTACCTGAAGAAGTCCCTTCCCTTCTTCCCAGATGGTCTCTATTAGAGCGGTTCTCAAAGCATGCTCCCCAGACCAACAGCAGCAGCGGCATCCAGGAACTTATTCAAAAACTACGTATACCTGGGGCACCTGGCTAGCTCTGTTGGTACGACATGCAACTCTTGGTCTTGGGGTTACGAGTTCGAGCCCCAGGTTGGGTATAGAGATCACTTCAAAATAAAGTCTTAAAAAATTATATAACAACAATGTGTGCTCTTGATCTTCGCTGCAGACACAATGAATCAGAAGCTCTGGGTGTAGGACCCAGCAACTTGTCTTTTAACAAGCCCCCCCACCCCAGGCAATTCTGATGTATTCCAAAGTTTGAGAACCGCTACTCTGTCGTACCGTCCAAATTAGTACCTCCAAGATTCTTACCATCCTTTCTCATTATTTGCTTATTCATATATTATTTATTCATATACTGATTATTCATATTTTATTGTCTGTCTCCTTCCACTAGATTGTAAACTCAATCGTGGTAGGGACTTTGTAATTCTTTTCTGCCAATATATCTCCAATGTGTTGCGCAGCACTTGATATCTGCTAAGTCTTTTTTGAATGAGTAAAAGAATAAAGGGATGAATGAGGGAATAGACCAATGAATAAGGAGAGTGAAGAGAAAGGGCTGGTTTGGATTAGAGGATGCATTTCCTTTGGGACCAGCTGAGTTTGCGGAGCTGGTGGGAACCCGTGGGGGTGAGGTGGGTAGCAGTTTCTCCCTTCCCACTGTCTCTCCCTTATCAGCTATTTTAGGCCTCTGGAATGGTCTGAATAGTAACAAGGGGGAGAGGTTCCAGGCTTCGGTGAATTGGGAGATGTTTGTGCTCAGGCAGAGGGGGAAGATTCTGGGTTCAGAGCTTCCCAGCCCAGACAGGGTAGGGGCTGGCAGGTCAGAGAAATGCCCCAGTCCTCCCATTGCTGGGAGACCCTGCTCTTGGCTGCACCGGGGCTCTAGGGTGAGGCAGAAAGAGAGAGCAATCCTGGAACTTCTGCAAGAGGATCTTTAGCAGGACAGTGGACGGAGCTGTTACATCGTAGCTGGGCATGGTGTGCGTGGTTGTGAAGGGGAGGTAAAACATAGTTATTTTAATACAATGGGACTTACAAGGGTCCTGCCCCAGTGCCTTCCCTGTCCCCTACCATGTCTCCTAGCTCCTCTGAGGACTTCTGCTCCATGACCCGAATGACAGTGCTGACCCTCAGCAGTGCCCTACAGCTCACCTAGGGGTGAGGCCCATCATAGTAGATGATGGGGGTGGGCATGCTGGGCCACTGAGGCAGGAAAGCCTGCTGCCTGAGCAACATGGCTATCCCTGCCCCAGTGGCCCAGGGAGGAGAACAGAGATACCCAGCTGGGTCAGAGGGGAGGAAGAGGGTCTGAAAAGCCCACTCTGGGATCCAGCCAGGGGAGTTCTGCTCGCTGAGAGACAAAAGGGGAGCTGGAGACATTTATGGCATCTGGCCCGCAGAGAGCCCAACCCCAGGGGGGTCCCCATTCCCCATGGGCATTCAAGGTCCTGCCTTACTCACTAGCTCTGTGTCGCCTCACATCTGTCACTGCAGCCTGGCTGTCTCCTAATTG